GATCACAGCCCTATTTAAATATTATTCATGGGTGCAATGCCATGTAATATTGTCGATCAACTGTTTAAGAAAGCCATAGGTTCATTACCTTGGTCGCAAAATACCCAAATTGGACTTAAGCCAGCTCAGTATAGACTACAACTCACATACTGTTTATATTTTTTAATTTAGGAAATTTTTACTTTTCGTAATAATTTTACGTTTCAATATTATTTAGAGCGTGTGAATTAATTTCGGTCGGATTCTGCGGAAATTTCTATCTAGCATTCCATTTGATATAATAGTTTTAGCATTTTCAACCGTGGTTTAAGCCGACTTAATCACAAAGTAACATAAGCAATCTTTTCTTGAAATTTCGACGAGCTCTGTTATTTAATCAAAATTTCCCAAGCCGCGTACTTTCGAGTTCCCAATTTAATACCGCCGTTAAAGATTTATTCCTCATTTTAATGACGTCTAGACTACAGACGTAAAATAACTTTAAGTCGAGAATAAGTGGGATAATTTGAAATTAAACTTATTTTGTGGTTTTATTCAGCAATCACAGAAGGTACTGAAGAAAATCACGAGGGTCTTCAGTCACTATAATCGGCTTGTCTCCGTCGATTCGAAATTGAAAAAAAATTACAGGAGTGGTGCACACTTTGTTAATCTTGGTTTTCCTCATTCACTCACACACAACAAAATTCATTCGACTTAACCTCTACAAGTGTCGTTAAATAATGTGAGACACTCGCAAGACGCCATCATATACTTTAAACGCTGCCAGTAGGAGCTACGTCATTAATGAATTTGTGCCTGGTCGTTGTTAAAGTGATCTTTCAGAAAATTTAAGTGGGCCATGCCAGGTGACTTGATGCTCACATGTTCTCACACAAAAACTCACCAACTTACCGTTATTAAAATGAGGGCGCCACAGACGGTAACGAACACTGAACACAACTTTGAACCCCCCAAGAGCGATGCACTTGTATTTATAAGACCAGAGTCCGCGGAGGAGGGGGGGTAGACGACCTACCTTGTTCAGATCGGTACAGCACCAGGTGAAAGGGCCTCTTCAGTATCGCCTTCGCGTAAGACACTCTCGCTTCGCGTCGAGATGATCTTCACATGTCTCGCCGCTCTGAATCATGGGTATTATTTTACGTAACGTACATCAGAGTCGAAATATCGATACCTGATGTTCAATTCGATTCTTCACTCGTAACTTTTAGGAGGAAATTGGCAGATCGTTTTAAATTCGTTTCGATTTGAAGGGAAAACTCTATAATGACGAGGATACCCATTGTTTTTACACCCCACCAGGGGCTCTTCCCCATCCAACTAGTTCGCCCCAAACGGTGTTTTCTCCCGTATTCGTCGCAGCGCCCCACCGCCTCACTCTTGGAGGCTTCGCCCAGCTGACGGAACTCTGCCCATTCATTGGGCGAATATAATTTAGAATCCACTCCAATTGCGTAAGTCAATGCCAAATTTCATCCATATCCGTAAGGCGGTTCTAATGTCTACAGACCAATCCTATATGCTTCATTTCAAGAACAAAGTACAAAGAACGAATTTACTCTGAAACAGCAGTAGCTTTACTATTCTTGTTTTCATATTTTAAGATTGACCACCACGGTGGTCTGGCGGTTAGAACGCTGGCCTTGTAATCCTGGGGTCTCGGGTTCGAATTTATAACTTGTGTTGGGCAAGGCCGTGGTCTAGGCAACACGGAGTTTTCCTCCGTGGCATCCCAACAATTACTCCAATCACACACAGAAGAAGGCAATGGCAAACCACTTATGGATCATCTGCCAAGAACGTATATGAACAAGTCCCAGTCCGAGAAAAGGATGGAAGGATCACCATTCACACACAGAAGATGGCAATGGCAAACCACTTCTGGATCATCTGCCAAGAACGTATATGAACAGGTCCCAGTCCGAGAAAAGGATGGAAGGATCCTGTTCATATGGACCTGTCGTCAGACTAAATAAATAAATAATTTTAAGATTCTGGTTATTTTACGGCTGTTCTCGTGTGTTGTTGGTTACTCTAAAAATACGTAGTGGCCAATCTATGTCGTACGGTTTCAAAAGAGAGGGTACTGCCGGAGGGTACCGCGTGTCCAGTGAGTAGCTAACAGCTGATAAAGGAAGGCTCTGAGTTTGCGCAAGATTTGCTCAATGCACGGTTCATAAAACACGTCGCGAATCCAATCCTCACTCTCTTCCATGAAGAAGATGCAGGGGTAGGAAACTTGCTGCTAGTGAGTCGCATGTGGCAACCTTTTACATGGTTTGGGTGTGAGCCAATGCGAGAAGATGGACACTTCTCTGATGCAGAGGAACTTTGAAATAAATATACAGACGTAGGCGGGTACTCTGTTCTATGGTATTTAATAACTGAACGTTTATAAAATTGTTGTTGATTTTAAATCGAAAGTTTTTGAAAACTAACAAACAATGTCTTTATATTAAACTCAGTTTTGTTGATAAATACATTTATTTTGGGTTTTCAAATTAATCTAATTTTTAAAAAAAAACACAGTTTCGCTTACTTTCCATGACGTAATAATTGTTTACGTCAGCGGTTATCGACAAACATATTAATACAAAGATGGTTGTCTTCTGGGTTGTTGCCCCATGTAGTCTGTTAGAAGTATTCCGACGTTTCAGAGGTGATAAATCATCGCCCTGATGATGGTTGTACCTCTGAAACTTCATACTCGTTGTCGTGAGAATCTCAGTAATGAGTGAGCAACACGACCCGCGGAATTGAAATTTTGCCTACCCCTGGTATAAAGAGTATCTTAAAAGTTACTAGAAACTAATTTAGATAACACAAATGGGTATTCTATGTACTGACGGCTAATCCAGACATCGTTTCATAAGACAAATATTTATTTTTGAAATGCTACTATCATTTAAATGTTAAAATATACCGACGTATTAAAAGCGTCGACTATATATTTATGCACATTTACAAATCAGTCACTGAAGAACATTTTGTTTGTTTATGTCCGTCACTTTCACACTTATTTTAGAGTCCATTCACTCGAACTACTTTTTCAGCACAAAGTTCGAATACACCACGAGACATACAGCTCAGATTATACCACATCCGGTCTTACCGAGATGTACTAAGATTCTTTTACATTTTTTTAAATTTTTTTTTAACCAGTTTTAAAACAAAAACTTTTTAAACAATAATTTTATCATTAAAATAGGAAAAAAATGATAATAGCATTTTAATGACATCAATTATACTATATTTAAACATTGGGCTTAAACATGTAATTCAATGGAATTATTAAAATAACAGGAACAGATACACAACAAGAATCAATATTACACCCCGAAATGCTGTTCTACAGAAATTAAAGTAATTTCTTCCTTCAGATTCCGTCTCTGAGCTGAGAACCGTTCGATATCCGAACCTCTGCGCAACGATTTTCATTCAGAACTTATCGATTTCAAATGCGAGATATCGACTGATTTCTCGATCTATGTGCACGCGGGCTTAAGACTCTGTAATATCGATCTAAAACAGTCAAAATCACAAAATATCACTCGAAAGACGCCCGATTTCTTTCCAGTACAGACATAAAGATAGTTTCGATGATTCTGAATCTTCACCCCAAAACTTCTGTTACCTTCGATTTAAGTTTTTATTCCTGTCTTTTACTGATATGAATAACTACATCTGGTAGACTTACCTGTTGAAAAGCTGAGTCCTACTGTCACAGAAGCGACTAACTTTGTGTGTCTCTGATCCTTTTCTCGTCAGTTTTTCCCCCCATTTAACCTCCTCTTCTCACAGAGGTTGGGAAATTGTTAAGAACAACTCTCAATATTGTTAACAAACGCGTTGCAGCATATTAATTGGTAGTTCTCGTACTAATTATAAACGTCTGTACTTCACACATGTTATGTCACGGACTGAAATAATTAGTGGGTTTCTCAAATCTCGTTATGATATTGGTGTAGCTTTTTTTTTTTTCGAGAACAGACTAAATTGGAAGAGAAACTCCATTAGATAAATGACGTGAAATAGAAGTTTACACAAAATGTTGTAACATTAAAATAAATATAATTAAAGTATGAGAAAATGTTAGTAGAAGGAAACAATATTGGAAAAGCGTACACTAAATTACGAAAGGTGTTAGGATTTGAGGTTTTCATGGCGGTGAGTACGAAGATGGCTGCCTTCTTGGTTTTAGCGCCGTGTAATCTGGTGGAAGTTTGCCAGGACTTCAGAGGTCCTTGAAGCAAGGACAGCTCTAAAACCCTGGAGACAGCCATCGAGGAAAGGTGTTCTTTACTTCAACAGGGCAATAATGTTATCCAACCTAACCTAACCTAACCTAAACCAACCTAACCTAACCTAACCTAACCTAACCTAAACTAACCTAACCTAACCTAAACTAATCTAACCTAACCTAACCTAAACCAACCTAACCTAACCTAACGTAACCTAACCTAACCTAACCTGATCTAGCCACACCTAACCAAACTCAAAGGTGTTACTCCACAGTCTCTGAAACTGAACCCATAAGGCGTATCCGCCTCTCGTCGGACATGATCCAATTCCATTCCGAAAACATTAAGAGCCCATAAGCTGTTCATCCCTCACGAGAGTGCAATAATGACGTAAGACGCACTAATGAATTTGTTTGTCCGCCATGATGGTAATTCATGTTTGCAGGAAATGGAACAGCACGTTTTTAGAGTTGCCCCCAATGACCTAACGTGCATACGAAATTTCACCCACTTCAGTCCAGCGATTCTGAGTTGAATCCTTCAGAGAGACAGACCAGGCTGTCTAATAAGGTGATATTATCTCAAAAACTGAATATTAAAACACCAGATCATAATTTCAAACACTGTTTTTTTTTGGTTCGAAATTTGATGTCTCATTTAAAATTAAAAAAATTGAAGGAATCTGAAAAGACAACGTAGAAGGCTTGTCTTCACATGACTACGTAGCTGTATGGGGCAGAGAGATTTTCATGACAAGGCAAGTCTCGTTGATAGTGGCATCAGAACCCATCAAAAT